GTCACTTCGACAACAGCTGTAGTGATATTGTCTACAGATGCTCCTTGCGTTGTGAATGATGATGGTTCAGGTAATCTATCTGAGGAGAAACAGAAAAGTAATAACTCGGTTTTTTTAGAATACTGCAAGGTGGATGCATGCATAAATCATGAATGCGGACCAAATGGTGAATGTATTCCATTGAATTTCACTTATTACAAGTGTAAATGCAAGCTCTATTACGATGGACCAAGATGCGATCTTTGTGAGCTTAATTTCCGTCTAATCAAAAACACTTCGAACATTTATCTAGCATTTATTTATATCTTAATCGACCCATTATTTGTATCAAGGTCTCAATCAAAGTTCCTTTTTTTCAAGCATTTCTTATATATACACTATGCACTGAACTCAACTGTCAATATCTAGTCAAACCGATTGAGCGAGCAGCGCGCTTTGACGGAGATGCCTTCTTGGAAATATCTTCCGATGAATTTCCACACCTAACTTCCGAGAAGGAAGAAGTGGTAGAACTTAAGTTCAAAACCAAGGAACAGAATGGTGTAAGCAATTAGCTCTTTGTTTCCTCTATGTGAAGTTTTGTAAAAGTTGAAGATGCAGGTCCTTTTCTGGCAAGGACAAGAGCGTGGTACCTCCGTTGTAGGTGAGGACTACTTTTCAGTGGGATTAATTGATGGATATCTGCACTTCTCGTACGTGAAATTCTCCCTAGGTGGTATATGACTAATTTTGTATGGTATTGCAGCTACGAGCTAGGCGGAGGAGCAGCTCATATGGCAACCGAACAGCGAGTTGATGACGATAAAGAACATGTAATTCGGTTAACGAGGTGAAAAGAAACTTGCTCTATCCAAATCCTTTTATTAAAGGATTGGTTCCTATCACTTGAAGATTTTCTTTGTTTCAAGAAAAGGTCGGCGTGGCGTTCTCAAGTTGGATAATCACACAGAGCAACGAGGCTTTAGCAGCGGAATTCTGGCCATGCTCAACGCGGATGGGAACATCTTTATCGGTACGTAATACTTCTCCTTCAGTCAATAAGCAATATATTTGAGAAAGGGTTTCTATCGATCTTAACTGATAATCCTATAAAAGCGTCCCACAGGAACCTTTGCGTAAAAAAAAAATCATTTTAAGCAGAACAACACCACCAGGACATTCCATTCTGCAGCTGTTTGCGGCTGCTATGATTTCATCTGAATGACAATAGACGCTTTACCCAAACTTTTCTCTAGTACTAAAGGAGCTTGATGAGAAAGTTATGACAAATGTATTCTGTCAGTATAGATTACAAAGAAAGCTCACAACATTCTTGGCACGTAAAAATACAGTAGTTTACAGCAACGTTCAAATTTCGCTTGCGCATTCACAGACATATTGGCGAAGTTGAAACATACGAATTTTTGCGAGTGAACGAATATCGAATACTGATTAGTTATAAACATACTTGAACGAATGAATAATGTTCGAACGCTGTTTGAAACATATTCGAATGCGAAATTCGGATAATGAAGGCGCCGAATATTCGACCATATGGGTCATATTTGCATCGAGTATTCGAGTACTCGGACACCGGAATAAATGCGTTTTCGAATA